CCCCCCCCCTCTTCCCTTCCCACTTGTCCCTTTCACAAACTGGAGCCGCCCCCTTTATTTGCAGGTGGGGGAGAGGCAGGTGGGGGAGAGGCAGCCGGGGGGGTAAGCGATTCGGCGCTGCTAATTGCAGTCATTAGGTGAGCGTCCACACACTGGCGCACAAGCAGCGCGTCGTCGTGAACTACTCCCTTGCGAGCTGCCTCCTCCTACTCCTTCCTCGCCTCGGCAGGTTCCAGTCAACAGACGGGCGGAGTGCCCCGCCCCCGCTGCCCTCTCACCCAGCTGGCAAAAATACCACAGAGGAAAACGGGGCGACCGCTCCTTTTCTTGAAAAGGCATTATTCGTCGCAGCGGACTGTTCAAATAACGCAACTGCCCCTGTGCGAGTCCTCCGCTGTGTGGCCGGGGGGCGCCAGGTCCCCGCCGTGGTTTGGGTCCTCCCCCTCGCCTTGCCCCTAGGCAAAGCGCCTAGTGCATCGATCCGACGGTGGTGGCGGCGGCGGGCAGCACGGTGCCCCATATCGGCGGAGGGGCCCCGCAGCCGGTGAGCCCGGCTAGAGCCCCGGCTAGAGCCACCCGGGTCCCCCGCACAAACGCACAGGGAGACCCCCTCGCCGCCGCCAGCCACACACCGGTCGATTAAGCGCCGAGGGGAGGGGAGGGAGGGGGCGAGGGGCCGCCGTGTGCGTGCCATAAGTTACTGTCCATGCCACCCCGTCACCCGATGCGACGCGATGAAGCGCCGCAGCAGGTACTAACGACACGAGCAGGGTCACGCGGCGCGGCGCTGGTCATGCTGCTCCGGGCGCCGTCCACCACCACGGAGCGCGCGGGGTCCACGACGCCGGCCGTTCGGTCGGCGGAAGAAGCAGCGAACGATAGTCCGCAGGAATTCCATTCGACGGGGCGCTTACCTGCAACACAACAGGAGAAGGGGAAAAGGTGAGTTATTTTGCAAACTTTACGCGCGCAGCAGAACAAACCGGCTGCCTTTGGGCGCTCAAAGTGGAGGCGGTGTAAATATAAGGAGGAAAAGGGAGAGGGGGTAAGGTTGAATAAGACCGCGGAGGAGGGAATCTCGCCGGCCAGGTCGGCGAGGCGAGGACGCCCGGCCGGCCAGACAATCGATATGGCAAATGCACTCGCGTTACACGTCGGAATGCTGCACTGCGGTTGGGGCGGGTCGTGGCCTGGGCGGCCTGCTCCGCGCCGAGCTCCGCGCGCAGAGAGCACCTCGCGGCCGCGCACCTCCGCGGCACGGCGGCAGCAGCGGGCGCCCGCGGGGGTGGGAGGGCGGGCGGCGGTAATGAGTTCCGTGAGGTGCATCACGCCGACCGGGATTCCCCCGCCGAGCTGACCTCCGCCGCGCTGCATTGGTTGGCTCTGGAGGAGCCCCGCTATACAGTCGCGTGCCGCTTTTCGATTATTTTTCTTCCTCCTCTTTTTATTCTTTTCGCTCTATTGTCGCGCACTGCGCGCTGCTCGATTGCTTTGGCCGCGATTCGCACACAGCTGACTTGTCTCCAAAGACAGAGGAAGAAAAGGGGGGGGGGGAGTAGACGGTCTTGCGGTGAGTCACAAAGTCACAGCCCATTGCACCACTAGAGTGGCGAGGCGCGGCGACTGGGAAGAGCAGAGGCCTCAACATCTAGAAAAGGCGCAAAAGTACACCGGGAAAGTATTAGAAAGAAAATGTGTCGGCAGTCTTAGTTGACCGCGGCTCAAATGGCAGTGTGGGTCATTGTCGTTTCAAGTTTGGAAATGAATGAATTAATTGGGCGAAACAATTATTTCTTAATGCATTTGACCAAACCTCTGCAGCGGCAGTGCAAAGGAAAGCAGAATTTGGCGATTGCCAAAATTTTGCAATAGTGTCATTGCCGAAAAAAATTGGGATACTTTCACCACTTTTCTTCTGTTAACCGCCAAAAAGAGGCAACACTGCATTTGGATTGAGTGCCCTCATGCCAAGAATTTATTCTGTACTGCTGTGAAAAGGGTGCTGAGTCCGGATAAGTTCGCTGGGAACGAATGCTGCCGACTTCCGGCAGCGGAGGCGCCGAAGAGGCAGCAGACGATCCGACCCGTGAAATTTCGTCAGTATATGTCCCGTATACTGTGACGTATACGGCTGACGTATACCAGACGTATGCATCATGCACGAATCATAATTGTATGTGATTTGTATGTGAATCGGACAAAGTTTGTACGTAGTGAAGCAAATGCCGTCCGTATGTGTGCCCTATATATTTCGAAAAGAAAATTTGGGAAAATTTTGACCTTTGACCCAGTCATTCTTGTTTCGATTTTCGGTTTAACCGTCCCTCATGTTTTATTTACCTATTTCCTACTTACTTGACTGATGAAAGTGGACTGCTACCGTTGGGAGTTGAACCTCGGACCTTCGGCTTCGGAACCCGTGACTCTACCATTGAGCTACGGTGACACGCTAGGAAGGACAGCGTCGTAGCCCGGTGTCATGTACAGCGCGGTTCCCCTTCCCGTCCGTACGTTGTCCGTATGTGTTCCACATACGGTGGGTATCGAGCTGACGTGTTACCCAGTCAATTGCCCGAGAGCCCAAGCAAGTAGCTTAGCTACATTTTCCTTAACTTAATCACTGATTCTAGTTTCCCTACAACTACTCCCTCGACAATGCTCGTTAGGGTGTTACAAAAAAATTGACATAATATATGCTTGAATGGACTTTATTAGAAAGTTCAGGCGTCGATCTAAATCTGTGCCAAATTTGAGACCTGTCCGATGAGGGGAACCATCCGCGCTCAAATTTGGCACAGATTCAGATCGAGTCATGAACTTGCGAATAAAGTCCACTCAAGAATATGTCAATTTTTTAAAAACACCCTAGTGCTCGTGGATACTAAACTTTGGGCCTTAGTCTTATTACGGAGTCATA